GAGAGAGATAGCTAACGATGAAGAGACAGACAGACAGAGAGAGAAAGAGAGAAAGAGAGAGAGAGAGCAGGAGAAAGCGACTGCAAGAGCGGTGACTTGAAATTGAACTAGAAGCAATTCATAAATAAGCGCGGCAATTGATCAGACACAGCTCCAGGTCTAGGTGTGTGTGACTGTGTGCGCCTGTCTGTGTGGGTGTGCAGCAAAGCTAATAGTGTTGCTCAATTTGAAATGTTGATGTCGATGATTACGTTGATGACACAGCAACAGCAGCAGCAAGAGCGGCAACAACAATGCCAACGACAGCAGAGCAGCTCTTGAGGAGTTCAGCAGCAGGTCTCGTCTGACTAGAAATGCAGAGCACATTGTTAACCCCCACTTCATTGAGAATGCTAATCGCACTCATTACACAAAATATGCATGTAATAATAGCAAAATCAGCAACAGCAACAATGAGATACTGAGAGTCGTTCAGTGAGACGAGACAAGGATTTTATACGCCCCCCCTACCCTATCACACACACTGTGCGAAATTGGTGCTGCGAACTACGCTGAATTACGCTTAAACTGAACTGAATTGAAAAAACGTGACAAGACTAAAAAGCTATTATATTATATTATGTGAGATATAAAATAAACGTCTACAGAAAACGCACTGTCGAATCTACAACTGTGAAGTTGCCAAATTCCTGGATATCTAACTTTATACATGATTATGCATACACCAGAGTCTAATCTAATATCAGTCAAGGAGTTGCCTTGATTTTTGGTAGAAAAACTTGCATATGAAGTTTGGCTTATCAAGCTCTTATAATCTAGAAGTTACTCTTAAGAAACATGCCTTTAAATCGATATTTATCGATAATATAAAATGCGCAGGATATAGAATAATGTTAAGCTTGTGCGTTGGGCTTAAAAGTGTACATATCATATCTTCTGTCTAGATTTTGTAGGCTAAAGACTTTGACAGACGGACATGGCTAAAGCAACTCAGTTGTATATACCGATCAGGAATATATATATTTTAAAGGGTTTGGATACGCTTCCTTTTGCCTGTTCGACACATTTGAACAAAGCCCAACTACACAATTTCTTTGAGTTCAATGTATAAGAAATTTTTTAAAATCAATTGAGATATAGCGAACATATGTTTTGGGAATTGTGATAATTACTATCCAGTAATTTTGCACTCCTTTGTGAGTCATTTTAAGTAACCCAATCACAAATAATAAAAGAGGTACTAGGGTGCGAGTTCAAGCCAATATATCGATTGTCTTAGCCGTAGGCAAAAGAGCTCTTGGTAATGAAGATATTAGATTGCAGATTAGATTAGTTATAATAATAATATCCAGTTATTTAACATATGTGCCAGGTTGGGCTAATGTGTTAAGTTTCTTATATATATAAGGAAAAACTTGTTTGGCGAAGGAAGCTGCAAAGGCTGAGGCGCTGCATCAAATATTCGGCGTTGCAAGTTGCATGAACAAATTGTTAAGCCCTATGTGGCGTTTTATGGTCTACAACAACAACAACAACATGAGAGGGCACATACATTGTTGCTGTTGGGGTCGTGTCTCTCTTTGACTGGCATGCCGCGAGCGCCGCCTAATGAGCGCTCATAATGGGCGGCGACGCAAAGGGAGAGAGAGAGGCCAAAGGTTGAGGGGCAGCGAATGGAAGGTTGTGAGCCTGGTACGCTGTTGACTGGGGAGCTGTCATGACTGGGGAGCTGCTGAATGACTGGCACTGGCTAGGGGCAATGAGACGGCGGGGGGAGGTTGGGGGCTTTCATTGTTGCGCTGCTAACGGAAGTTGTCAGCCGCCGTTGACGAAAAATCGAATATTTCTGTCTATTTTGTTTTTTTTTTTTTTTTTCTTGCACATCTCGCAATGCATTTAATATGAAAAGACAACAGGCGAGGATGGGAGCAGGCCAGGACAAGCGAAGCCTTGCGCTGTCAACCAAGCAGCTAGCAGCTAGCAGCTAGCAGGCAGCAGCCAGTGAGGCACGCAAGGACAATGCCCAAGCGAGCGTCTTAAACGCTGTCAACGTTGGCTTTTTGTTTCAAGTGCCTGGCAAGCACGTTGAGCAGGATGAGGCTGATGAGGATGACGATGAATGGGGTGAGCATGTGGATGAGGCTGACGCTGACGCTGACGATGAGGACATGAACGTGAACGTGAACGAGAACGAGAATGAGGCTGAGAATGAGCTTGGGGATGAGCATAAGAATGGGAATGAACCTGGGTATAGGGTATGTAGGCAAGCCAAAGGTGCCCCTGGCACATTTTTCCTTTGCTCCGTCTATTTTTTTCTCATTTTTTTTTGTTCTTTTTTGGCAACGGCTGTTTAAATTGACACTTGGCATCTTTTGTTGCATCAAAAACGTGTCGTCGTCCTGCCACCTGGCTGGCTGGCTGGCTGGCTGCTGCAGGCCACTATGGGTTTTCTTTTAAATATTTGACAGCTCGAGGAAGGCCGTTGCTGTTACAGGAGACTGGCTGAAGGAGCTGGCAACGGGGCGCGAATGAAGGACAGGTCGCGTTTCCCGACAACGCCGCGTTGCATGCATGACATTTTCCCAAATTACTTCCGAAATGCTTTTCACGCCTTCAATGCTCATTTTTGGCGGGCGGGTAGGCGGCCTTAAGCCTCAACTTGCCGGGCTTGCCACACAAAAATTAAATTGTAAAACTGTATGGCAGCACGAGCACTCTTCAATTTGCCAGACATTTAATTTGAAGTTAAGACAAGGTTAAGAGTTTTAACACTTGATTCTCGAGACCTGACTTCTCTTTCTCCCTCTCTCTCACGTTCTATCCCCGTATCTTCCTGAAAGAAGGGGCGTGTCTTAAGCCTAATTAGCTTTTCGAGGCTAACAATTGAAATGATGTTTCGATCGGATTGTGCCCCATTTGGTGCGTATTTCTGAGCAAATAATATTTTGCCACTGCGTAAATTATGCCAAGTTTCTAACCAAATGAACATTTTGTACAACGACAGCAATTATTTTCATCTAAACTATATCACACAGTAATTAAACCAAGGATTAGGACCAGCTGAGCCTCGTATTATTAATTAAATTATGCAAAGCAGTGGGCAAGGTAAGCTGCCGGCCCAAAGGTCATGGGCAGGCTGACAACATAAAAACGCAAGGCACGCCGAATATTAAATACTCTAGCAAACATATGGCATTGAAGTGCTTTTATACAAAAGCCGATCGAATGCTCCTCTAGGAGCCATATCATTTGTAAGTATGATAAGGTGTGTTGCAGATATCTTACAGCTTAATGATATAGTGGCTCGATCCAGCCAAGATTGACATACTGTAAAGTACCTGTTAGAGCAAGATGTCCCTTAGCAAATAAAATATAGCTTTTAAACTGAGAGATTGTTTAGCATAGAGACAAAAAGACGGACAGACAAGTCTCGACTGTTCCTGCTGATCAAATATGTACGATATATATAATTGATGACTTTGAAGGAATCTCCTTCTGTGCGTTACACAATGCGAGACGAAATTCTAATACCCTCTACGATGCTATAAAAGCAACTTTGCATAAGCCTGAAAGCGCCTTTGAGCCACGTAAACAAATTGAAATTCACAAAATGTTTATGCGCCTGGAACAATTTTTCATTTTTTATATTTATATTTATTCTTATTTTTTCTAATTTATTTTTGCTTTTGTACTTTTTTCTGTGCCGTTGTTTGCCTGTCGCCAAACAATTCAATTTGTGCCAAAAGATGCGCAAGACGCAAAATGATAATTAAAATGAATTTGCATAAGAAAATGTGAAAAACTAGAGGAAAACACAAAAAGCGAACCAAGTGATGCCCAAAAGCAGCTCATTTGGATTTTGACAAAGTTTTGCCCCAGTGCCCACAAGGAAACAGGATAAGCAGGCCATAGCCAAAGTTATCACATACCCTGCAAAATACTCAGCGAAAGACCGTGTTACTGAGGCCATCATTCGGCGCTAGAGCTGACATTTCGATGCTGTGACAGTCTATAAGATATAGGGCATAAAAGAGTCCATTGTGTAGTGCAGGGTATCAACCAGTCGATCATGGCTAACTTTTGTTTATTGCGTTTCGTATTTTTAAATTTTGCATTTTACAATGACCTTTTGTGGCCAAATCTCGTTAATTCTTGGTAAATTTGTTCGTGCCGAACAACAATAAAAGAATACAATTTTTAGTAACAAATATATATAAGAAATACTAATTAAATGTGCGGCAAACGTTCTATTTGCTTTCAGATCTCAGTCAGCGACAACAACAACAAATGCCAAAAGAGCCAACAGAGAATGAAACAGGGACTAGCAGGCGGGGCAATACAAGGAGCAGCAACAGCAGCGGCACAAGGATTATCGCAAGGAGCAGGGATCAAGGGGGAAGCGTCAAAAGCACATTTAAAGAATTTTAATCGAATACTGCCAAGTAACAAATATATGTATTTACAATATATATACACAGAATAAGTATATATGCATATATGTATATATATATATATATATATAGATGAGCATATATATATATGCCGACTAGAGCTCGCAAACAAACAGCAATAACAACAAAAGATATGCAACTAATTTATTAAAGTTAATTAACCAACTGAACAATGGACGATGGGCAAAAACATAACTAAATCGTATAAATTAATGTGACAGTGGAAACAGTTCTAATAAACATGTAAATAAATGCTGCCAAATCCACAACAACAACAACACAAACAACGACAACAACTGAAATGCATGTAACGCACAAGAACAACAATAACAACAACAACAACAACAAAATTAACAAGAACAACAACAAGCACAGTGGGCAAAGTGCAGCTATTTCGCATACTTGGAAAAGCAACCACAACAAATACAACAACAACAACAGCAACAGCAACAGCAATAAGCGCTAACATTAACATTAACATTAACAGCAACAGCAAGGTCGCTGGCACGCCCACAACGCCCTCAACACCAGCGCGCAGAGGGAAATGAGATGAAGTGGTTTCAAGTGACCATAGATATGATTCTTGTGCTTTCATTTATATCAAGTAAGTACCGCACACTCGTATTTATTAGCCCAAGCGCCACCTCCCCGCTCCAGCCCTCTCTCTTTCGGTTAAGACCTCGACCCAATCCCAAAAGACCCCCTCAGCAACCCTGCCTCAAGTGGCAACTCAAACAAAGCCACGCAAAGCACTCCAAACACAAAAAACAATCGCCTGACATTGCGACCAACATTTCTGGACAGCCAGAAATGTTCAGGCACCCGAGTGCTTCAGAGTTGGCAGCTCCATGGGGCAAGGGATGGGTTGTCCAGGGGGGTGCGCACTTTTACTAGGCATTTATTGCAGCAGCTTGATTTTAGTTTTTTTTTCTTTTTTTTTTTGTTAACAATCGGACCAGCATCCTAACCCCAAGCGCAAAGTCTAATCCATGGCGTCTTTGGGCCAACAGTTGGTCAAATTTATTGGCTCTTTTTAGAATAAAATAGCCCCCATCAGCTGGACATTAACAATGCGCTCAATGCGGTACGCATGCCGCAATTTGAGCAGCGGCCATTCTGCTTCTTCCCAAAACTATAGAGAAATTACAAGCTTTTTAAAAATAAATGACATATACCAAAGCCCTGTTAATTTAGAGCTTGTAGCGGACATTAGAATGTTTGGTTCAAGTGTGAAAAGAAGAAGGTGTCTATAAGTCCTAAGAGTATATGTATTATTGATCAGTGTTGATTTCCGTCTCCCCGCCCCTCCGTCTGGCAGTTTCTTTGCAAACTAGAGTCTCAATTTGAAAGCTTTCGTCGTGAAACCGTCTTTCGGTTCCGCAGAATCGGACTAATCGTATAGGAGTGATCGTTCTAAAATTAAGTTCTTAACTAATCTTGACACTTGCAAGCTCTAACATGCTCTTCACGAATATGCAATTTCCGTCTATTATCCATAGCTCGCCAATTATTATTAAGTTCAATTTTTCTGTTATTTTTTATCTATATCTATACTTTGACCAAACCCAGCAATTACAAGCTACACTATCCTTCTGTCAATTCTGTAATTCGGACTACTAAATTTTATTGAAAATATCGGTCAGAAAATCCCTTCTTGGCTTACTTAATCTCTGAGCTGCTGTGCTCTCGTCCTTTTTTAGATTTAAATATTTGAAGAAATCGAGCTGCAAATAAAATATATTGTATGATATAAATATATTATTAGCCGAGTCCGTAAAAGATTTAAATAACACACAAAACGTTGAGTATCTCTATGATATTCTAGTCGAATCTTGAGTATACAATAATACGATTTATTTTGAATTGTGAAAACATGGAAGAGAAAAATCTGGTATAATATGATATGATGATAATCATACTTTCATAGTCATGAATACGTACGAGTACTCGTTTATAATGCTTGCTATTCAACGCACGCACACATGCTTATATACATATTATTTGGATTTTGATATGGAGCAGTTGGAGCAGGCGACTGTCTGCATGCAGGGTATTGGCAGATTAGGAAACATGTTGTCTGGGCGCATACGAAATGGAAAGTGCAAATGAAATCGAGTTTTGGGCGTTGGATGTTGGACGTTGGACGTGGCCAACAGCTAACAGCTAACAGTGAACGGCAAAACAACTGACAACGCGAAGGACGAAGGACAATGCCAGCTAACAGCAGGATACACAGACAGACGCAGACACGGACACGGACACGCCTCGCCTCGGACTAAGACTCGCACTCGCACTCGAACGCGGACTCGAACTTTCGAGCTGGACTCGGACTTGGTCAACGTGCCAGCATCAGTTTTAGCGGCTTGTACGAAATGAGGCCGCAGCTGCCACAGCTGTGGCAAGCAAACGTTTTGTCTGCCTGCACAGACGAAAACTAGCACAAGGCAGCGACCACGCCCACATACATGCCCACACCCACACCCACACCCAGGCACGCACATACACTCACACTCTCGCTCGCTTGGCCCCAGCTGACCCAATCCTAGGCCCCTTGCCCGGCCCGACTCGGCTCTGTCCGTCAGTCGCCATTGCCTCCACTGTGCGTGTCGTCGATTTGATTTTCATTTTTTATGCGCGTCGCGTCGCCAAGGCCGGCAGCGCAGTTGACACCGCAGTCGCTGCCAGCGCCGCTGTCGCTGCCGCCGTCAACGTTGCGCTTAATGGCGCGGCAACATTTGCGGCTAGCTGCAAGAGGACAACTGAAACCGTATCCGTAACCCAAACCCATACCCATACCGAAACCGAAACCAAAACTGAAACAGAAGCTGGACTGCAATTAAAGGCAATCCTTTCCTTGAGGCCCAGCCAGAAAGGAGCCGCACTGAAGGACCTGAACCTAACGCGAATTTATGTACATACTTACGCTTATGTGTATATGTTCTCGCATCGTAAATAAAAATGCAAGAGTCTTCATAAATCTTGAATGCTTGGCCAAATGTGTGTGGTTACTGTTGTTGTTTCTCCACCCCTTTTGCCAAGCAAATGGAGCGTATTCGTTTTGCGTAGGCGCTGGCATTGACATATTCTATAAAGGTATATTCTACATATAGGCTTAGACGAGGTTCTACAAAAACCGACCCGCAAAGATGAAAAATTCGTGGAAAATGATTGTTTGAAACTATTTTGATTGCTTACCGATCGGTCTCATACTCATTTCTTCTTTCTTAGTAGAAATTGGGCTTGAAGATTTGCTGGGTTGCATGTCCAAGAATCCTCATAAAAGTTATTTTGAAATGTGTTGCAAAATCAATCTCTCCCGGGTGGAAAATGAAAATCAATGAGCGAAGGTTTAAGTTTCGTTTGTTTGGCGTCAAACTCATTTGCATGACTCTACATAAAAACTTAATTAATACGTGTTTCAACGATTTTTGAAATTCCATTCGCAGCTGTGGAAAATTGGCGGATTACGATTGTACCAACACAATTCCAAAAATTTGTCTAAAAATTGATTTTATTTTACTTTTTGCAAGTGGAATATGTGTTCAGCTTCACGCTCATTATTAAAGCCCACGGAATGGGCGGGAAGCTTTAATTCCAACTGAATGTTCTTTATTTGATCGACATCAAACTCATCTTCAAATATGTAAAATATAATTCAAGCTTAAGGAATCAGTTAGTTCGTGTATATTTATATTTTGCACGGACGGAAAATGTGTGGAAAAATGATACCATATCTCAAATTTGAAACAGAAAGATTGGCCCGGGCAAACTCTTAAATATTGTTGCGACAAACTCTCGTTGCCTTTCACTTTTTACCTGTGACGCTGCAAACAGGGTATTTCATAGTTGGAATATTTTCACATACTTGTTGTTGTTGTTGCCGCTGTTGTCATGTAGGCATTCCCGAGCTATGCGATTTCACATTTTGGCACATTTGGTGCGGCTTAAACAAGCATCGAATTTTGTTTCGATTTAAAAAGCCATAAATTCATGAAACATGAAAAGCTCGGCTGGGCAATGCTGCTCGTATCTCGTATCTTGGAGCTGCCTCAGGCCCGGTAATAGGAATCTAAGCAGCAGGAGCAGCAGCAGCAGCGCCCAAAGGCAGGCAGCACAATTTTTCATGTCATCATTTCGACTGCCCAGCAGACACCGCAGCAAACATAAATAAATAGCACTAAGGCACGCCACACACACACACACACACACACACACACACACACACACACACACACACACACACACACACACACACACACACACACACACACACACACACACACACACACAAAGACAGAACATGGCGCATCAATAGCTGCTGCAAATGGCTGCTAATGCAGCAGCAGCAACAACTGCAGCAATTTTTACAACGTCGCCGTCAGTTGCCACGCTCCAGTTTCCGCTTTGTGGCCATTAAACGAACCACACACACACACACACGCACACGTCCACTTGTAGGGAGTGCGGTTAGTAGGTGAGGAGCTGCAAGTAACGCCCTTAACAGCAGCATCAGCAGCAGCAGCCAGACGACAACTTAGAGCACTTTTCCACTGCCGCTGGCGACTTCTTTTTCTATGGCTACACTGCACAACAAAGGCTGCTTATGTTTTGGCATATCACTGACCCAAGGCAGTCAGAAGTTAAACCCCAACTTGGACGTTGAAATATGACTAAATGGGCAGGCGACATGTCAGCTTGACCATTAATTACTTGTATTAACTTAGAACAGGGCTGTGAACCCAAGAAAATGAAATCTAGCCACCTTCCCGCCCTTAAGTTCGCTTCGTTAACATCCATTGTCATATCTTTTTCGGTTTAGGGTTTGGCTCATAGTAAAAAGTAAGTTTGCTCGAAGCTATTCGGCTTAGATCTGGTCTGCAGCATTGGTTTGCAGAGCTCTGACAATGCTGATTCCACTGACAGACAACTGCTTATGTATCGATTCCACTGCCATAAATGAGGCTAAAATTTGAAATGATTTGATATGCTTGTCATATTCGTTTTGAATGAAAGCAATGTGTCACGTAAATATCATTCGTAGCCTCATTCGCGTTTATACTTAGCATATAGTCAAACATTTAGAGAATATAGATTCCACTATAAAATGCTGCAATCGTAATGAATGTCTTGTGCGTTAGTGTCGTTTTTGGAGCGACTCAGGCAGCTTTTTGGCTCTCCTCACAGATGCGAATGGTACCAGTGGAATGTCTCACATTCCGTATGGGCAAATGACGGCGGATACAACCCATAAGTTGATGACATCGCATTATCCAGACCATTTCAATTGCAATTTCAATTTATTGTCCATCAAGCATATATTTTATTAGTCGTTTATCGTTATACCAATTCATAAGCTATATCATATATATTTAGATATAGGTATATCATATCATTATAGATCATACTATCAACGCATACCGTAGAGTGTGTCAGATTCGCATTGTCTTTTATTCTATTGCTGTATCTTATTTCTTCAGCTGTCTGACTCTTTTATCTACTGCGAATGGGCGGCGGGCAGGCTGAAGTTTGCGGGGTATGAGATAATTTGCACACTCGGCTCCCCCTCGCCCATTTGTAATGCAATTGCCACGCCCCTGCGGCTGC